CACTATTTGCCCTCACAGCACTGTGGGCCAGGGAGGATCTAAAGGGACAGAAAAGAACAGAGATCGCTGGTTTTCCTTTACCTGGAGACCTCTTATTTCCTCTTGGGAGATGACCACTTGTTGCCTGGTCTCAAAAGCCTTCCCGTGGCACCCAATGTTTGCCCTGTATATCTACAAGGCCCTGCACTCAACTCACGGCCTGGTTACCGTCCACCAGTGCCCCACACCCAGGCTTGGAGCCAGGGACAGGCCATTAGTCCCAAATCCCACGTTTAGCCCAGGCCTCTCTAGGCTTCATGAATTAACTGAATCATCCATCTTGGGCCCTGCCCAGCTGCACTCCCCAACTCCTTTCCCAGACTCCCACCCACCCTCCAGGCTGATGATTCCTACCACTCTCAATTCCCCTAATAAGCACTGGTCAAACTCTCACTGTGCTAAGTCATGGGGCTCCCATTCTGCCCCAAACCAGGATGCTCAGCTGGTGGGGAAGGTGGGCGCCCAGAAAGTTCACCAGGATAGTGAGCAGGCTAGGGCAGCAGGAGACTGCTGTCTCAGGAGACGGGGCAGTGGGAACCTCACTGTGGGGAGGGCCATTCTGTGTGGATGGGAGTGAGTATGGTCAGGGGTACATTCCATACTGGCAGCCACCATGGGCCCTTGACTGCCTGGAGGGGAAATCTGGGCTGGTGCCATGTCATCTCTTGGCTTCCTTCCCACAGGTCAGACAAGAGTGGGATCTCTGAAGACTGTGGGCCAGGTGAGAAGAAGCAGGACCCCCTGGTGTGTGTCATGGGGCGGGAGAGTGTCCATCAGCCGGCCACCCAGCAGCCTTGAGGAGATGAGCTCAGACCATGAGCCTGGAGTACTAAAGAATTTCCTCTGCCTACTCCCGTCACCCCCTAGGCCTCAGAGCATGCTGGGAGCTCACGAGTGGTGGGGAGCTGAGAGGGACAGATGAGATGTGGGTGACATTGTGGGGGAGTTGGGAGACCAGGATTCTGGCATCACACTGCCTCCTAGGGTGTCTTTCTCAAGTGGTTTCCACTCTTAGGGCCTCAGTCACCATGTCTATGAATTGGAAAACACCGGAACTGGCCTGTGGTCCTGCCTGGTCTGGGCAAGAGCGTGTGAGCTGCTGTGACTTTGGTTGGGTGTTAATAACAAGTCACAGACACAAGGATATTCTGAATGACTCACCCTGCCTGGCCAGGCTCATGTCTGCATCTGACTGGACCCCTCATTTCCTCACAGGAACCTCCGGGGAGCTGGGTGGGCTGAGGCCCATCAAAATTGAGCCGGAGGATCTGGATATCATTCAGGTCACCGTCCCAGGTAAGGGACAGACGTCTGAAGGGCTGATGCTGCTGCCTCAACCTGCACCTACAGGAAACGAGCAGCTCCCACAGCAAGGTTCCTAGGCCTGCTGGAGCCACTGGGTTCCCTCCCAGCTAGATTGGGGCTGTCCACTCAGTCTCCCTAGGCTCTGTCCTAACCAAGAAGGGGTCTCCAGGCTGTTGTTTCTCTGGTTTGATCCTGAGAACAGTAGAGTATCACGTATGCTTTCTGCAGCCACATCTGCCCCTTGTGCTAGGAGTCGGGTCTCTCAGCTCTGACTTTCCTAAAGGTCCCCTTGCAATCTTCATCTGTCTGGCCTGGCTTCCTTGGGATTCGGGAGGCAGGAGGGAGGAGAAGAAAAGGCATTGGAGTAAGAGGATCTATCTAAGTTTGACACCTGACTCGGAACCCCGAGTCTCAGCTGCCACGTCTGTGAAGAGGAGGGTGTACTTGGCCTCTGGAGGTTGACCATGGGGTAACCACTAGGAGCCCCCAGGGTGTCGGGCCTCTGGGTCCCTTCCTGGCCTTTGATCATTAAGGCTGCCCTCCCCGAGTGTCAGGGCATGGCTTCCTTAAGGATCCTTCTCTGTGGGCGTGCTGGGCTGGAGTCCCTGGGAGACTGTGACTGCGTGAGACAGGCAGAAGAGTTTCTTGTCATTTGGAGTTTTGTCCCCAGACCCTTCGCCAACTTCTGAGGAAATGACAGACTCGATGCCTGGGCATCTGCCCTCGGAAGATTCTGGTTATGGGATGGAGATGCTGACTGGTAAGAAATGAGCTGGGGACCCACCTCCCTGGGGCGTAATGGGCAGAAGCATAGGCCAGGAAGCTTTCCTTGCTATGGACTGTTCCTCTTAGAGAAAACTCAGTGCATGCCTGACTCCCCGGCCCAGGCTCAATACCTTTCTGAAAACTTGAACCTGGCCGTGGTTTATATTAAGTCTGGTTACTAGTCTTAATTTGCATTAATTTGTTTACTTATTCAACAATTATTTATTGAGCACCTGCTATGTACCAGATCCTGTGTGAGATGCTAGGGACAGAGCAGTGAACCAGACACACCAAAGTTCCTGTCCTCACGGGGCTGACATCCCAGTGCAGGCAGACAGATAAAGCAAATTGATAAGTAAATTAGAAAGTCAGATGATGGTATGTGCTGTGGGGGCACAAAGCCAGGAGGGGGAGGTATTAGAGGTAGGAGGGGCAGTTTAGTTACTACAGGACTTGGTTGATCAGAGTGGACCTCACCGAGAAAGTGACGTTGAAGCAAAGACCTGAAGGAGATGCAGGTGGGAGCCCTGCGGATATCAGGAGTTTTCTGGGCAGAAGGAACAGCAAGTACAAAGGCCCTGAGGTGGACTATGCCCAGCATGTCTGCAAGGAGGCCCAAGTGGCTGGAGCAGAGTAAGGTGAGAAGGTGAGGTTAGGGAGGTGATGAGGTGGGTTCTGCCAGGCAAGTATATCAAAGGAGGGAGTTGGGGTTTGATTCTGAGGATACAGGAACTGCTTGGGGGTTGGAGCCAACCAGGAATATTTTAACAGTATTCACTCTGACCGTGGGGTTGAGAATAGACTGCAGAGGAGTAGGGACAAAGACAGAAACGTACTACTGCAGTAATCTAGGCAAGCGGAGTGGTGGGGCTGGCAGCAGGGAGTGGGTGGAGTTCTATATGTTTTGCTTTTTAAACTTGGTTTTGGAACAGAACTGAAATGAATACTTAATCTCATGTGCCCAACTCCCAGCTCCAACCATTATCAACAGATGTTATTAGAGCTAATAAAAATAAGAATTATTATAGGTACTTTTTTAAAAATAAATCATTATAAAGATAAATACTATGTAAATTATAGTACAGAAGGTTTGAGGATATGGCAGAAAATATCAGTACTCAGGGGACTGGAGTTTGGAAAGCTCTGTAATAGGGAGGCAGGGCCAGGCCAGGAAACTTTAAGAAGAGAGATGGCATTTGTTGCTTTTCCTGTGTGTGGTGTCCAGTGTGAGCTTGATCCGAAGGGGAGAGGAGGGGCAGCTATCGCTTAAGGATACCATGCAAAAGCATAGTGGGCAGCATTTAAAGGAACAGTACAGAGAACTCAAAAACGTAATGTTTAGTGTGAAAAGCAAGTATAGATGGATATGGACAATATAGCATTTATCTAAATTTGGAAACATAAAAACAGTATTTTTTAATGTTTTATTAAAAAATCAGGTGCAAATATGACCAAATGCTAACATGCATTCATTCCAGCTGGTGGGTACACGAGTGTTTGTTATAATATGCTGTATGCTTTTCTACACTTTTTAATTTTTCCCTCACCAAAAACAAACAAATGTCTGGAAAAATAAGTAAGGTTTCCTACTGGCCAGGTGGGTTGTGATATGCGAATTGGTGACAGAATAAAGGTAGAACATCTCTACCCCTCGTTTGCTTCCATCACTTCTGTCAGGGAGAACGGTCTAGAAATAGGAGAGTGAGGAGGACCTGGGAGTCCCACTTATTAAGGAGATGCGAGCGTCTGCAGAGCTGCTGTGGATGAGTATAGATCTCCAGCTTCTGATAAGTCCGATCCCAGGCAGCTAATACCTAAGATCCACCATCTATGGTACTTGAAAAGTTACGGTGGACGGAAGCTGAGCTGACAACGGAAAACAGACTTCGAGATAAGAGTTTGCCCAAATTGCAGACAGGTAGACCGGGCATCAGTCCCAATCACAGTTCTGGAACAGATTTCTATGTAGACAACTGAGTTGTCAGAAGGGACCCAGTGTGGATCATTTATAAGGTATGAGTTGGCTTGTGAGCTATCAGGATCTCGAGCTGGCCCTGGGCCAGCGGGGGAAGCAGGGCTGCAGGGGGCCCCCAACTTTCACTTGGAAGATGTTTCCCCTTCTATCTTGGAGGGCTTGGTTCTTGCTCAAATATTTATCAGTTAGTTGGATGAAGGACCCTCAGGTAGCAGGCTTATGCAATTTGCAGGTGCCTCAGGAAGGAATGGGCAGTCCACCCAAGAATGATGTTCTTCATGGCCTTGACTCACCAGAAACTGGTCTGAAATACACGAGGAGAATTCACAGCCCATGGACATGGGTCATGGGTTGTGCTCCCCAGGAAGCAGACTCTGAAATGGAGTGGGGCCTTTTTAATGTGTGGGATATTTCTTAGGGGCTGCCTTTGGGATCAACACCTGTATAAGGGAGGGGATGGAAAGGAAGCACAAAGGAGCAGAAAGAGAGATCAAGCCTTGATGCAGCCCCAGTGGTAGCCTCTGCCAACTCCATGGGGAGCTCTGAAGCCAGAATGGCCCCGTAGAGTTGTTCCAAGTTGAACCGGTATCCTAGCCTTCATACATACGCCCACCTCAGTTGGTCACAGGACATGGGCCACCCAAAAGGGCAGTTCTTAAAGGGGCAATTGCCCAGGGCTGCCAGTTGACCATAGTCCCTGCTGCTGGGGCAACAATGTGGGGATGTGGGTGGTACATCCCAGTGTTCATCACAGCGTTAATTGATGATTGCACCAAAAAAAGAGAGATAGCCTATAAGCAAACACATATGGCCACAGAAATGAGGACTTACACAGGGGACATCTCTTTTGCACCCCTTAACTGGACAGAACTTTCACTGAGCATACGTGATGTGAGTAAGAATGCAAACGCACAAATTGCTTTTTTTTTTTTTAAACAAATTTGTCAGCTCGGAGAGCCATGAAAATGAACTCCCCTGGTCGTTCCAGGAATCCAGTCCTAAGAAAATATCTGAAATACGGACAACATTTTTTGTACAGAGGTGTTTGTGGCAGTGTTACTGATGACAATGAAAAATTGGAAAGAGCCAGTCCAACTACTGCGGTGCTGTTAATGGTATCCTCCTGATGCAGCCACTAAAAATAGGCAACACGAGAGAATGCAAAAGACACAAAAATGAGTGTGCTCTGTTGACAACCATGTTGAAAACATAATTACTGGTTTATATATATATACATCGAAACAGTAGCTGTATTAGGTTAAGTGCTTTATCTTTCTTAAGTCCTAAATTAGTTATGATGTGCATTCAATACCTTGGTAATGAAAAAAGAGGATTATTTGTCAAGCACGCGCTGAGCATGACCAGACTTGACAGCAGGTGGTGAGACTGTAAGGAGTTTAGTTGACCAGAGGCTCAGGATGAGCTGCCAGTGTGGTCTGTCCGCTAAGAGGTCATGTGGCACCTGGCTGTGCTCACAGCAGTACTAGATGAGACCGTGGGGTCCCAGTCTGAGCCCCAGAGGCTGGTGGTGCTGTGGGGACAGTGGGCTGTGGACTAGCATGGTGCCATTTCTGTTTGGAAAGCTTCTTCCCTCCTAGTTTGACAAAACAGGAAATCGAGGCCTGGTAAGGCCAGTTCACCTCCCCCAGATCACCCAGCCTTGGGCTGGAACCCAGGTTTGCCAGTTCCCTGTCCAGGGCCCCTTTCAAGTCACCCCACTCAAAACTGATGAATTCTGAGATTTTTAAGACCACTGTGGATTAGAGAGTTGTGTGTATATGCTGTGCTTTTTTCTGTTTACACATGTACACTGTAAAATAAATAATACAGAACTCTAACACGTAAAGGAAAAGCTCCCGCTGCCCCCTCTTCAGGCATTTACTAGTTTAGTGTCCATCCTCCGTGTTTTTACTGCACACATGCTAACTCCTTTTGTTAACTATTTTGTACCCTTCATCCCTCATTTCCTCACCTGATGCCTTGGACATATCTCTGCAGCAGCATAGTATTCACTGTCAGCATATCCTTGGTCATTTATTGAGGTTGTTCCAGTTTTTCACTGTTGAAGTGGGGGAGCAGTGAGCTCATGGATGGGTGTGTTCAGGGTAAATAGCCTGGCCCTCCCCATCTTGGAGAATCAGGCACATTCCCCTTGTTTAGAATTTGGGCCCCCCCCCAAACACCTGGGTTGTGTCTCCCTGCCTTTGAAAGGCCTCCCCTGAGTGGATCTGGCCCAGCTTCCTTCTGCTTGCGGGACCCAGCAAGCCTGGCAGAAGCCCCTCCCAAGTTGTGGTTGGCTGAGCTGGGTCAGGTCATCTGCCTAGTTCTCTCAATTGTTGCTATCTCTTGAGGGGGCAGCACTGCACATGTGGACAGCTCACAGTGGGGATAGACTCCTGGACCAGGTCTCTGCTCTCTTGACCTTCACAGGCCACCTGGAGAACTTAATAGGTGTTCCAGGTTTGACATCTGGGCAGCTTCCTCTACCTCCAGACAGATATAATACCTGACTCCCTGTCACAGGTGTCTGCTCAAGGAAACCCTCCCTAGTGGCCCTGCTTGTCCCTCTGTCCCCACCACTCATCTCTTCCTATCTGCCCCACTCTCCAGTGTATTAGTGGGGTCCCCCAGAAGCTGACCCCAAGACAAATGCATTCATTAACTGGGAGATCTGAGAATACCAGTACAGGATGGGAAGAGGGACTGAGACAATACAGCAGTGTTATGAGGCCTGTGACCACTGCAGGCAGCTGAGCTGTTGGCACACAACAGCCCACACACCTGAGTTTTTGCAGCTGGGTGAGGAGGGAGCTGAGTTAGTGATCTGCCAAGTCACCCCCCATTATTGGCTGAGAGCTTTTTCCAGGGCGTTAACCGCGAGTTTGCAGCTTGTGGGTTCTTCTCCCACAGTCAGTTCTTCAGGCAGAGTCAGGTGGACCCAGCATCTGCTGTCTGCAGTGTATCCTTTACCCCTGAAGAACGTTTAGGCCTACACCTTTAGGTTTAGGCTGGCCCTCAATCTTTTCAAGTCTGCGGCTGAATATAGATGAAACCTTCCAAAACTTTCCAGTTCCTTCTGAGCTGAGCCCCAAGTCTCAGGTGTTTTGGTGATCCCAGATATGCGGGTTCACTTTCCCTCAATTGGTGAGTGGTCATTGACCATTGACAGCTCTCAGGATTTGTCCCTTTCCTTCAGCTCAAGATCCCATTTAGAACGGGGATAGTGCCCTGCATCCCTTGTCACTGAATGCTCTCTCCTCGAGCACGCCTGGTATTCACCTGCTCTGCCACTCCGCAGCTCAACTGCATATTGTGGGCTAAAAGGCCTTCAAGGGCTAGTCCTGCTTGTGAAGGACTGGTGAGCTTCCTAAGTCACAGCTCCCATCTGGTTTTCACAAGTGTTGAAAACCCTTCCAGTGCCTGCCTTAGCCATGGTGATGCTGCTGAGGGTCTGTCCGCTTCACCACGCCCCATTCAACCCACTCCCACTGTCCTCATTTGCATGTCATCCTCTAGCCAAAACCAGTCATCTCTGAGTTTGCCTCCCCTCCCCATACTGCTCCTCTCTGCTTGCCCGTGTCTTTCCCACCCCATTGCTTTTCCTGGATACAGATCCAGCCCAGATGTTCCCCTCCTACAGGAAGCCTCCCCTCCTCAGCCCCCAAGGCCAACAGGGGACCACCTCTACCCCCATGAAGCCTCAGCCGTCACCTCACTTGTTTGCTGCATTGTATCCTTGCTACCTGTAGACAAGCATCTGAGGACAAGATTGGATCCACTGCTTTCAGCCTGGGCCGGGGCCAGTGCCACCTCATCAGCCGCACCCCCCAACCACCTGACCCTGGATAACTCCATGCCTCCCACCTGCCCCTCCCTGTGTTTCTTTATTTGTTTTTCTTCATGGCATCACCACCATCTGGCATTGTGTTATGTCTGCATCACACCAGGAAGACAGGGCTTTGTCTTGTTCCCATGTGTCTATCTTGAGTGCCTGGAATAGAACATAGAACGAAGTAGTAGGGAGGACTGGCAGGCTCGGGGCTGGCCTCCAGGGGGTACACACCAAATGTGATGGGACACCTAGTGTCTGAACCTGCCCTCTTCGCTTGGAGGTGAAGGGTGCCTGTACTGAATCTGGGTCCCTGATCCCGTCTGGGGCTCGCTATGCTGTGCTCGAGTCAGAGCCCACCAGCCTGCTGTTCCTCACCTTTTGGCCTGACTTTGGCAGCACAGGCTGCAGGAGATAATGACCATGGCTTCTCAGCATCCTCTGTTCTCTTTCAGACAAAGGCCCCAGCGAGGACCTGCGGCCCGAGGAGAGACCTGTGGAAGGTGAGGCACTGACTACCTCCGACATTTCACCCCACCACCCAATCTCTGCTCCCCTCTCCAGCTCCCCCATCTCCCCTTTGTCTCTCTCCAACACCCTGTTTGGGGGTGGGAGTCCTGTGGGCCGCCTGAGGTGGGATGTTTACAGACCTGTCTTCTAGAACTAGGAGGTACCTAGTCAGAGGTACAGTAGCTCTTTATGGAAAAGGAAATTGCAAGGCTTTCTTTTATTTTTTTATACACACCCTGCTCTTTCCACAAAGGTTTTGCTTCTTTCCACAAAGTTTTTAAGGCTGAGGTCTGAGCCTAGGTCTGAGCCAATAGAATTTAGGCCTGAAAAAA